GCTGCTGCTGCTGCTGCTGCTGCTGCTGCTGCTGCAGGATCTGTCCCTGCTGCGCCACCTGTTGGTGTAAGGCCGCCATTTGAGCTTGGTGAGCGTTCATGAACTGGGTGAGCATGGCCTGGATACCGCCGAGTGGGTTCGCGCCGGCACCCTCCTCTGGTCCGTTGTTTGCCGGGGGGGCGTCGCCGCCGTTGTGCACGGCTGCCGGGGGAGCGGCTGCAGCTGCGGCTGCGTCGGCGGCTGCGACAGCGGCTGCGGCAGCGTTTACAGCGGCGGCAGCGTCTGCGGCGGCGGCGTTGGGTGCAGCGGCGTTGGGTGCGGCGCCGTCATACGCGGGTGCGGCTTCGGCCGCGGCTGCGTCTGCTGCTATCTTTGCCTGGACCGCATTTTGCACTGATGGATCCATGGGCAAAATCGATCAAGGCCCTAACTTCCACGCTCCTTCCTCTTGCTTCCTCAACTAGTTGTTTGACTGCACTAGCGTTCTCTTCCCCGAGACGCGGGTGCACAAGAAGACTGAAGACATTGCACGCAGGGGACGCTCAGCACCCGTCCCCTGCTTTCTTTCGAATTCAACAAACGCCTTCCACAAACAACGCTTTCCTTCTGAACGCTACATTTTCGACAAAAAAGAAAATCCCCCCGAGTATTTCAATTTCCCCGGGGGTACCAGTTTTCCCACGAGTTCCCCCCGGAGGGGATGTATTTCCCTTATTTCCTGAGTCGATTTGGTTGCATCGCGGAGCACAACATGACATCGGACGGAAAAATCATTTGCAGATCTGCGCTTCGAGCGAGAGTTAGGTGTACCGTTTGTCGCTTGGCCCTCGCCGTTGTTGTTTTATGGATGAAGTGCTCTGTGTGGTGTGTGGACCATCATTATTTGCACAACTCCTCCGGGGGGGGGACTTCCGCCCAGGGTAGCGTTGAAAAACAAAAACTAACCCCTGCGGTATGTCAACTTCCCTCCGGGGGGGTTGGTTTCAGAAAAAAAGACGATCCCCTCTCCGGTAAAAAACTCCACACACACGTGGCCGATCGGCTACCCCCCGAAAATCCTTCAGCAACTTTAATTCCCCCCTCTAGAGGGTATAATTGGGTCTACGTAGAGGGATTGTTACCTATATATATACCAATTCCCGCTAGAGGGTTTGCAAACCCGCTACAACATTAGAGACAACAGGGATGGATGCACATAATACTCCAAATCCGAGGCGTCTCCGGCTCACTCCCGCGATAAATCGACCCTGAGACGAAACGTTCGGGGAACTCGCCCCTCAGACTGCCGACCGGGTCCCCGGATCCCGGCGCCCGGGTTCGACGCCCTCGGCCCGGGGGGAGGGGGCGAGGTTCGGGCTTTCAACTCTATTTCCTTGACAAGAATTGGGGCACTCGACTTGGCGCCGAGATAAATCGATTTTCACCCGGTCTTCCGCGCCCGCAGGGCCCCGGCCGGGCTCTCGCGGGCATCGCCCGTAGGGTTCCGGGGTCCGCCGGGACCGAGGCGGTGCGGGGCGCCGAAGTTGGGCTCCCGGCGGGGAGACCGGAGTTTCGTCTCTCCGAAAGGACCCGAGCGGGGGAAATCTTCGCCCTTCTTCTGCTGTCTTCTTCGCCCGAACTTCGGAGGCCGAAAGGACACAACACACCCTTCCCTGCAAACTGCTTTGTTCGTGCTGCTGCTCTCTGTCTTGATAGGAAATGGCGATGCCCCCCCGCGCTCACCCGCCTACTTCAGTGCATTTGTCGTAAGTAGTTGCACCAGCGAAAAACCGATGCCCACACAATCGCGCGTCAGCGCGCTGGCAACAGCAGGTGCAGATGGTTCTCTCAGTGTTCGGTTCAAGGTTGAAGTGTTGAAGTGTGCAATTCCGCCGCATCACTCACAAGCAGACATCCGCCTCGACTGAACACACCGCAGACGCCGTCATGCTGCGCGTGAAGTCTCGCCCACGACCTGCGTGAGCAGCAATCACCATGGGCCCATATCCAGGCAAGGGTCTGTGCCGTACAGAGAGCGAGCCCATGGTGGTGGTGTGGAAGGCATTCCTGCGCTATGTACTCATCATCCGTCTGTGTTTTGCAACGGGCGAGCGATGCGGGTGTAGTCTAAGCAACGAATCTATTAGACTACAGGAGTTTTCGCGGAGGGACGATACGTTCCCTTCTACGTTCCCTTCTACGTTCCCCAGCAGGGCGGGGCAGACTTTCGACTACGCGGCGGTCTGGGTAGAAGGAGAAATCTGACGCTATGGAAGACAGGAAGCGAACCTCGACTGAGCCGCGGGTTGTGCACCAGCGGTGACCTCGACGTCCAACTGTAAACCGCGAGGTGATCGTTATTGCTGTTTATTTCACTCTCCACGCCCACGTACCTGCTTGACAACTGTCACAGTATCCATCCATTTCGAGTCTGAACTCCACAACATGTCCAGGACAAGGAGAAAGTGCTGCTGCCGTTGCTGCATTATGTTGTGGTTCCGAACCAACGTCCTTACATACACAGCAAGTTAGAAGTGTAGTGCAGCAGCATCCTCTACGAGATAGGGCGGGGTGATGAGCCGCTGGGTAGCGTATACCTGCCAGTGTAGTATTATCTGCGATGCTGATTATGCGCCAATCCCGACACACAACGTGAATCGTTTATGGTGAACCAACGTGTGCACAGAGGCACAGGTGTGCGACGGGCGCGACGATGTGGTTGTATGTGCGGCCCCGTTAAAAAATTTGCACTTTACACGCGGTTGTTTCTTTCCCGTGGATGCAAATGCATACACCCACGACGAAATATGAAGTCTTCCCGCTGTGCGGACGCAAACACGCACATCAGGGCATTTACCTGGCGGCGAGCGTATCACACATCACACCGTCGAGGTGCACGACCAGCAACGTAGACATAGGATTGTGGCAAGACAGATGACAATTATTGCGCCAGGCACACAACTTGCCCGCCACATTCGCCTCAAACCTTCCGAGTTTCCCGCCAAGTGCATGTTGTGTGATATTCGTTTGTGATCATCGGTCTCTGCTATTGGGGCACAGTCGGTTGGACCGCTCAACACCAATGAACACCTGCCAGGTTTCACATGGCGCATGACCATACCCACGGCGCACAGGTCGAATAGGCCCGGCCCCTCCTGGTTATCATTGATAGCTGGTCTCGGATCAGCGTCCTGATGTTCTCCTTTTGCTGATGTGGTGTTGTCCTACCGGGGTTTAAAACTCTACCGCGTGTGAATATATGTGTTTGTATTATTATTAGCATCGACCGCGCTAACCGGCTGACCAATGAACAGACGTCAGGATGTGTCTTATCGACAGAATCAAGATCAGAAATCGAAATCAAAAATCAGTTTAAGTCCTGAAGAGTCGCCCAAGTTCGCCCGCGGTGTCTTATCGAGAAACCACCAAAATCAAAATCGAAATTGAGAAACACGGTGAAGCGCCCACTTCAAGCGGCGAACAGCCCGCCAGTTCCGTGACACGACGTCCGCAGCGTCGCGCCGCATCCCAAAAGAATGGCTCGCGCTCCTGCCAGCCGCCGCTCATGGCTGCGAGGAAAGACAAAGAAGCGCATGAGACAGCTCCTGGAGCTGCTGATGATAATGGTGCTCATGGACGAAGGCGATCCCCCTCAGACCCGGGATAAGTTCGTGCGCCGCGAGCGGAGGAGCTGGTACACCTACGCCAAGCCCATGGTGCAGGATGGCACGTTCAGGCTGCGCTTCCGCATGGACTACACAGAGTTCGCGCTTCTCGCGGATATGTTGCGGCCGAAGCTTGAGAGGAACGAAAGGATGGGTGCTCTACGCAACGGGGTGATCCCGGTAGAGTTTCAGCTAGCAATGGCACTTCGTTTCCTTGCAGGTGGTAGCGTTTTCGAGGTGATGGATGGTAACGTGATCGCCAGAAGCACAGCATACGCGATAGTGCACCGTGTCATCGACGCCATCAACCAGACGCGAGAGCTCGATTGTGTTTGGCCTGAAGGGGAGGACGCGTTGGACCAGTGTGGCATGTACCGGCGGCGGAGCACGAACGGCGTCATCCGTATGTGCGTAGGAGCGATGGACGGGCTGTTCGTTCGCATGACGCAACCGTCTTTGAGGAGGCACGTCAACCCTCGCAGCTTCTACAGCGGGCACAAGAAAGGCTTCGGCATGAACTTTCAGGTCTGTGTGCTCGATTAGCGGAGGGGGAGAGTGTCCAAAACGTGTTCTTTTGTTATTGCAGCAGGTTGAACAGCAGCAGCCGCAGCCTACATTGCATGCAGCTTGAACAACAACAGCAGCGAGCGGCAGCAAGCAACAGCAGCAGCAGCAGCAGCAGCAGCAGCAGCAGCAGCAGCAGCAGCAGCAGTAGCAGCAGTAGCAACCGCAAGTCACAGTAGGGGCTACAGCTTAGGGAACAGGTGGCGGGGTTAGTAAAGACACACAACACACATACCCCACACATCACGCGCACGAGGTTGAACATAATGCTTGTTTACACACTCACCGCAACGCGCATCGCGCACGCCGCGTGCGGAAACAAACACAGCAGCAGGCTTTGTGTACCCTGCCCGGCTTGGCCCGGCAAAGGTCGTCGGTACATCCACAATAAGTCCGAAGCAATCTGAGCCCATGCACTGTACTGCCGCTTCTTTCCCTCTGTACAAACCCCGCGATTTAATAGGGTGTGTGCAACGCGCGATACGAAATCATCGCGTGGACCATGAACTGCCCTGGAAGCTGCAACGACCGCACAGCATTCAAGCACTCTGTTTTTGGAACGGTCCTGAAAACCCTGCCCCCCGGCGCCTACATTGTCGGCGACGCTGCCTATCCGGCCTCTGACCAAGTCCTCGTGCCGTACCCAGGGACTTCCCTCACGCGCAGCCAAGACGCGTACAACTTCTACCAGTCTCAGGCCAGAATTTCCATCGAGCAGGCGTTCGGCATCATGGTGAGTGCTTATGTAAACGGCACAATAGGGCCATCCATTCCACCCAAGTGTTGGGCGAAAGAGTTTTGCAGAAGTCGGAGGGAAATGCGACCTATGTGTTGCAGAAGTCGGGGGGGAATGCGACCTATGTATAGGGGGGATGTCCTCATCGGCCGGCAAAGATTCTTTTTGTGTGCGGTTCAGGCGCGCGTCAGGTACACACTGAAGGCCGCGGCATTCCCACGTACCGTTCCTCTGTCCTGATACCACAGAATATTTTCGGTGCCTCACCGCTCCCTTCTTTTTCATTGGTCCCGCGTTCATGTGCCTATGCTCTCAGGTCAAGACATGGGGGATATTGTGGCGGCCGCTGGACATGCGACTTGAGCGGGTGTCGTCGGTCATCAACTCCGTGGTCCGCCTGCACAACTTCCTGCGTCGGCGGAGAGCGAGGATCCCACGGAGCCCCTGGAGGGTCACCCAACCGGTGGAGGTACGATTCCGCCCGGACGGGAGCCTCGAGGGCACCTACTTCGACACTGTCCCTACACGTGGAAGACAGACGAGGGGGGGGAGGGCTAGCGCCCCGCGCGAGGCCATTCGCCAGTACCTGGAGCAGTACTCGATCGGGCGCCCGAGGTGGAACCTCCAGCGCAACTCGGGTTAGGGTTAGCAATGCGTACAGGCCGCTTGATAATGATGTTATTTTGTCGAGGTAGCCGTAGGAGTGGTGTGGTGTGGTTGTCCGTATGGAGAGAGGTTTGGTGTGCGGAGGGTGTGTGTGTGGTAAAAAGTGGTGAGTGTGGGTGTGTGCGCGCGGGGGGGGGTGGGGGGAGCTGTGTCCTGGTGCCCAACTTGCCGCAGGCATCCGCCGTATTGAAGGATTGGTATCTGGTATCTACACAAGTTTGGTTGTTGGCGATCTTTTGCTTTGGGGGTGGATGGTCCCTTTTCCCCGCAGTTTGACAAGGTGTACCCGCACATAGATGGACGGTTTTTTTTTTTTTCTCCTCTCATTATTGGACTTCTGTCGTCTGCCCCTCTGGCCCCCATCCTCCACTTCTACTAGCTAGACGACCCAACCGGGGTCACACAGGGGGGGGGGGCTGGACCCCCTCCTGCGGTGCCTGCCTTCGAGGTTTTTATCGCGAGCAGTGTTCAGCACTCCCCCACCCTCGTCAACAATGAAGCCGAAGTATATTTACTGACGGGGTTACCGCGTTCAATGTTGCCAGGAACGAAAGTGACAAGAAAAATCACTTGATAGACGTAGGGGGGCACGGTCGGGCGTGCATCGCTCATTCTCCCGCGTGTGGCAGGTGGTACAATGAAGATGTTTCTATTGTGGCGGGACCAACGTTGGGGTCCGGTATGCTGTGCGCACGACAAAAAAACACAAGGACGACGAACAGTAGTGGTGCCAGTAGCCAGATTGCACAAAAATAATCTCTTCCGCCTCGCCGGGGGGAGAGAGGGCTGGAAGGATCAGCCTACTCCGGTACCAACATAAAAACGGCACACCAGTAGTGAACAACTGCAGCACCTTGTAGTCTGTAACCCCAACACTGATGTGTAGCCACCAAAGGAGAAGGCGCTACAAAGATGAAAAACGCAACACAAGCTGAGAGTGGCTCCCCTGAAAATAAGCTTTCGTGCTGCGTCCGGGAAGAGGGCGTCATCTCAACCACCCCCCCTAACCCCAACCCCGCGCCGACAGCGACAATACATTAAACGAGTGCGGCAAGAAAGAAACAAACCCGGCCGAGCGTATAGGGAAAGACACCTCCACAAATGGTGAGCACCGAAACCCCCGTCGCCCATGCCAACGCCCCACAAGAGAACAAACCAATAAGAAGGCAACAGAACGTGCGTCAGAGTCGTTCATTTGGGTGCCACGCGCCGAACTCTGTTTCGAGAGAGCGGTCCATCCACGTCGACATGCACCATAAAACAAACGTACGCGTGCAACAAAAGCAACACCAGACGGCGTACGCAACAAAAACGACCAGAACAGCAGCCAGCAAACCGGGCTGGGATCACGGGGCAGAACGCAACCGAAAAAAAGAAACAATGGCATCCTAACATACTCAATGCGCATCGTCTACTAAAAAAAACAACACCGCGCAAATGTCTACCACGTTGCCCTTGGACTATGGTATACGGAGTAGTACAGAATACGTCTCATCAACAAGCAAAAAGAAGAAAAGGGCGACGGGGTCGGGGGATGGAGAGGGTGGTCTAGCAACGGCAATGGAGATGAGCCTGCACCTACAACACAACAACAACACCAACAACATCAGGCTTAGGGCTCCGCACCCAACACCCCCCACACAGCAGAAACAAAACATCGGGTACAGACGACGGGGGAAGCGGGAAAGCAAGGGGAAAAGCGAGAACGAATCGACGGCGTGTGACGGCATGTACACCCGCAATTCATATAACACTTTGATCAACCATGTCAGCCGCCTGCCCCGTGAATACCAGAAAGTACAGCATACGTCTCAGAAACAGAGTTCGGAAAAAAAAAAATCGTTGAGCAAGGGAAGTACATCATCTCCTCACACCAAAAAAGAAGAAAACAAGAAAAAAAAACAGAAATAAAAAGAAACGGATAACGGTAGCGGGGTTGATGGTGCATTATGGTTCAAAAGTATGATCAAAGCAGTCGTCCATCTACAACAACACTAATTGAACAACACCAACGGACGGGCTCTTGACCAACACGCCACTAACGGCAGCAACAGAACCTTTCGGTACAACCGACAGCGGACAAGCCGTAAAAAAACAAGGAAAACAACAACATCCCTTTGAGCGACCACGCGCGACATTGGCACTAACAACTCCAACAACACTGCACGCACGCATGTCCACTCTGTCCTTCACTTATCACGCATCATATCCTCAGTGCGCACGAAAAAATTAAACAAGAAATAAGGGGGAGCGCCAAGTGCGGCGTAGTGGCCCTACGAAGAAAAAACACGACCCGCGGGAACACCCACAGGCGGAACTCAGACAATATAGCTAGGACCAGCTCAAGATGATGCATGCTTTTCCATAAGATCGGACACTTCCTTGTTGCGGAGGCGTAGCGCAAGCTCGGCACAGGCTTTGACTTGAGGGTCACAGCCCTGAGGTAGCTCGTCGACAACTTTCTGTGCCTGCAACACGTTTTGAGACGCCTGTACGAGCAGAGCGGCTACGTCTACCCACGAACCCGACGCCTTGCGACGTTCCTCTGCGTCAGCTTCGTTTTGCTCTCGGATGGAACTAGCTACCGACCTAAATATCTCGAGCTTTTCTTCCTCACGTTTCTCATGTCTGACTGCCATCGCCGATTTGTCTTTGCGCCGTGACGCACGTGCTTCGTTGGCGTCGGCGAGGTCGTCACCCCCTCCCATCCCTCGGTGGCCAGGCCCACCGGGGATGCTCGACCCCATCCCCGCGCCACCGTCTGGGATGACAATATCACCGAAATGCGACACGTCGCCCCCGCCCTTCATGGTCATGACATCGTGGTAGAGGAAGGGACCTAGTTTCCCATCGCAAAAATTCCACAGGTGAACAGCGTCCTTCCGCTTCCGCGCCCCGTTACGGTCTGGATCCTCACCGTCAGCCCCCGCCCTCTCGTCTAGGTCCCCTGATCCGTCGCCTCCATTCCCTTCCTCGCCCTCGTCATCGTCTGCAGCGTCTGCCCCCACACCCCCGCTCGCGTCTCGTTTACGGATCAACTCCTGCATGCATGAGGTTGCGGTGGGTGTGGGCAGCAATTGGCATTGATTAAGTTCTGGCGCCGGAGATGGGGTGTGGACATTGCCAAACCATTTGCAACAGAGATAGATACAATCCTCCACACGCGACGTGCAGCGGTCGAACTAGAGCAACAACCCCACGCACAGGAGGAAAGGTCAATGCAAAAAACGCATCAAAGGGTGCGAAACGGCCAACATACTAGGCGTCACCACCCACGATGGGAGGAACACACCAAACAAAAACACGCGTAAACCGCCAAAAAGAACTGCGAGAGGGCCAACTTACTACCCGTCACCAGGAGCGGCTATCTAACCCTCACCGTGTTCTCTCCCGCGAGGTAGCGGAGCCAAACAGGGACCTGCCTCTCCAAGGGTGAGGTGTCCTCGCCGTACAGTGCATTCAGTTCACGCTTCGTACGCTCGAAGTCGATGCCGTCTAGGGCCTCGAACAATTCCTCGGGGGCCTCCGGGTTGTCGTAGGAGTGGTTGACTGGGACGGAGATGGCGTTCCCATGGTCGTCCTTGTACTCCAAGTTGACCATGTCTCTCGCGATGTGCCGGTACCACTTCTTCTTCGGGTTGTGCTTCTTGTCCTCCAACGACAGTCGACTCTTCTGCGTGAAACAGTCTTGGAAGCCTTCGAAAGTGGAGTCGTTGGCCAAGTGGCAGCAGAGCAGAACGAGGAAGTTCTCCTTGCGCTCTGGTTCGTCCCCGGTCTTCCCCGCCGCCGGCGCCTTCCCCTTCTTGACGGTCTTTTCCGGGGTGAAACCAGCCGGAATTTTCTTCAACGCTGACGTCTCGCCCTCTGCGATCTTCCGCTTGATGCACTTGTCGACGGCGTCAGCGAGGAGTTCTCTTCTCAGCGACTTGTACCCGGTGACGTATTCATCCTCGTCGACGTCCAGATGCTTTCGCTTCCCGTGCTGAGTGGCCAAGATGTCGGCCGCCGCCTTCAGGTTCGGCAAGGACCACCTCCAGGGGTTCCGCGGCTTCAGCGGCGAGGTTGCCTGCCCACGCAACACGCGGGGACGACAAAAACAACGTTGGTCGGTTGAATATAAGCCGGGATTGTACTTTGGACAAAGGTGGGTGCCGCAAGTACCAGGAGGGACGTTAGTCGGGGCGAAATGACCATGACTCTGACGAAGGGCGGTTGTGGGCAGGAAGGGGAAACACGCACAAAATGACACACACGTAGACACCTATGCCAAACGCTGACAGCACCAAGGAAAAACAAGTGGAATATAACTGGAAGAATCATTTCGGACGACAATGGAGACTAAAACACGGGGGGTTGCGTTCGTCCTTCGGGGGTGGGATGGTCCTCCGAGACGAAAGGGTCTCGTACGCAAAAGGATATCCGGGGGTCACCATTTACACAACATCCGAATTATCGTTTTACAGCATTAGCACCCAAAGGAATGACGGGTACCAAAGAAGGGCATTCCACATGCAGTCAACATAGGGAGGCGGGGTGCGCGGACATACCCAACCCTTACAGAACGAACTAAAGCGGTTGGGGGAGCTGCCGCCATGCGGTGTGCCGATTGGATATTACAGACTGAGCCAACATGTTATCGTACAGCATCGGTGGGGGGATCGCATTGATGTGGGATCGTTCTAGTATGCATTCGACTGTCATGCACAAGGTACAGAAGCAACCCGCGAAAACATTTCCCCTCCCTGCCCAAGCGCCAACCTCTGTCTGCGGACGACAATCACGACAGGCGCCCCCGAACGAACGCATGCCATAAGCCCGCTGTTACGCCGAAATATCGAAGTGTCTGTGACGGTGCATCGGCACTCAAATAACCGGAACGCCCCGGGCGTGGGGCCGAACAAAGCCGCCTACCTGGTCGTCTTCGTCACTCTCTTCTTCCTCCTCTTCCTCTTCACCATCGTCGAACAAAACCCGAGAGCTCGCAAGCGCAGCGTGGGGCCGAACAAAGCCGCCTACCTGGTCGTCTTCGTCACTCTCTTCTTCCTCCTCTTCCTCTTCACCATCGTCGAACAAAACCCGAGAGCTCGCAAGCGCGTCCTGTGCGCGAACCGAAGAAGACCCGTGAACCGGAGAAGACCCTGGAAGGTTATCGGGCTGGTAGTCACGATTGTGGGTCGGGTTGGGGCGGGGCCGGGGACGGTGGGTCGTCGTCGCTGTGTTTAGTGAGACGGTGGAACAAATGGCCGATAGTATTCTAAAGCCGAAAAGAAGGCAATCAACAGACAGCGAAGACTGCAAATGAGCCAGAGTACCAAACGATACAACACGAACATCTCCCCCCCCCCGCCCCCCCCAACCCTCTCCACAAACAAAATAAACAAGAAAAATAGCTTGCTGGTACTTGTATAGTCCCATGTACACAGCAGTGAGCACGCTGGCGCAGGCAACTGTAAAAACGCCCGCCCGCCATGCGTTTGCCGACAAGCAGCACAAGCTAGTAGTTGTACGGTGTGGGAGAGGTGCCGTCCGGTTACTCAGCTGCCTCAGAGGGGAGGGTTCACAGCAATCAACATTCACCCCCCACACACACACACCTTCCGTGTCATGCAGAAGGACACGTCACTACTAAACACACGGTGCGGACAGTAAAATTATAACGCGGCACAACGACCTTCATGCCGCAGACCAGTGCGCCGCGGGCGTGTGCAACCAACATGAAACCACATATCATCATGAGGGGAGGAGCCATGATCGTCGAGGGAAAGGGGAATGACACTCGAACTTTATTCTCACCTCACTGTTCATATCATCGTCGACAGAATCCTCGCCAAGCACGCCGGGGCCGTTGTCGCTGCGCGCGTGCGATGATGCCGTTTTCGCTGTCTGTGATTTCTCCGCTTCGCGTTGGGCGCGCGCTTCAGCGTAGATTTCCTGCGGCAGTGGCGGGGAAAAGCGCATAACGGCAGCGGGAAAAACGGCAGGGGGGAACAGTATCGTTGGTACTTTCTCCCACAAACCCAAAAACATGTGTGCCAGATACAGGATCACAAGAAATGACGCAGGCCGAGGGAACATGTGTCATAACCCAAACACTGCTTCCCTGGCCACGCCATCTTTTCGGATAGGTTGTTTGAGAATTTGTATAGTTATGTGTCGAGTATGGCCATCACCTTTCCGCGACACCCATGTGCACAACACACTTTTTTTTTTTTTTCGCCAACAAGGGACCCGACATCAAAACTAGGAGATGCTTCCTCGTACATAGTGGTGTTATGTTGTGGTGTGTAGACACCCTCCGCTGTAGTTGAAAAAAACACGAACGAAGACGCACAAAAGGTACGGACAGGAGCACGGACACAACTTCCCACACTTACCGCGATCTCCGCGTCCATTTCCGCCTTCACGGCATCCTGGGCAGGCGTGGCGAGCGACGTCTTCACCCCCTGCTGTGGAGCAAGCAGCCGCGCAGCAGGGTGGGGGAAGCATAGGTCAAAGACATTGATTTCCTCCAATATTCGCATCTGTGCGGGCCGCTACGTGTGCACACTTTTTTTCGTGCCTGCACTTTCGTGAAGGTGGGCTACAGCCTGCTGGAGCAAAGACCGGTATTTTGTCATCCGCACACATAAACACACAGGGCGGGCTTTCTTCGTGGCGTGGGCCATGTTCCTCCAGCTGTGTCGCTGCAGCAGTTGGTCGCGACCCTGCGCACCACGTCAACTCCCATTTCCAAGGAGGACTTGTTTTATTTTATTTTTTCACCCGCGCTGCGAATCGAACCCACGTTTTGCCTGCTTGGTGGTTTGCACGTTACCACTAGACCACCGGGCCCTCTTCCCGTCACATCACCTTCATGTACATGCGACACACGCCACTAACGAACACAAAATCCCACTATTTTTGCGGAGCTGATCGCCCAAAACCCAAGCATGTTGTCGTACAGCAGAGGTGATGCTTCAAACGCGCGTCGGCCCTTCCCACCAAGAGACACGCATGCACGCGGTAACAGCATGGGCGCAAAACTGATGACCCGTTTCACAACAGGGGAGTGGGGGAGGGCCGAGTTCACACCGGCCCATGCCTCGCGACCCGCCACACCAACCCCAATCCTGCTTCTTAGGAACCTTTCGGCCAAGAGCAACTCATCACATTTACACAGAGAACGTCTGAGGCGTTCACAGAAAGGACGATACATATACATACCCTGTAGGACTATATTAGGAGGGGGTGGGTGGGAGAGCGGGGGCGAGGTACCGCGTGGTACATGTTGTTCATGTTGTCTTCATAGTAAAATTCTTCCCGATCTCTCCACAGCAGTGCCCCCCCCCCTTTGTCCGTATACTGATCCAACAGACACGGCCAATTCCCGTCGTGACAGGTTAACCTACCCTAAAAGGGTATACTAAAAACAAACAAATAACATGGACCCGAAGGGTCAGCAGAGCGATATGATCAAAACAAAATCAAAACAATTAGTCTGGAGCCCTCCGCTCCCCTCCGCGGTGTACTCTGTACAGCAGTACATGTACAAATATGATACTGCTGTATGCATCGACAAAAAGAAGATTTTCTTTCAAAAACAGCGCGCTCTTTGAGACACATTTTGTACTTTTATTCCACCCCGTGTTGGAAGGACGGTGTCGGAAGGACAGAGTGGCAACGTCCTCGCCCACACGTGGACGAGCGCACGGTCCGAACCACACAAACGTCGTGAGGTCACGGCCGCGGCGGCTTGGGCACCCGGGTGACGAAAATAACCTCACCTTTTCCGTGCTGGGGCGAGCCCGCGAGTTCTGGCTCATGCGTTTCCTCCTCCGGTCTGCTGCTTCCCTCCGTTCCAACTCCTCTACCTCGGCGGCCTCCGTTCCATCGCTCGAGCTGGCGGCGTCGAGCTTCGCTCCCAGGGTGCGTCCGTCTCGTGCGGGTGGTGATAAACGAGGAGACGATGCCGGCGCGTGCACCACATGGTGGCTTTCGGGGAGGGCAGTCAGAGCAGAAGAATCTGGTGCATGCCCATAATACGCCATCGGGCTAAGATACGGTCGGTTTGCGTGACCGCCGCCGATCGCCAACGGAGCCCACCCACGACTGGGCGTGAGGTACGCTTGTTGCGGCGGCGGCGGCGGCAGGTACTGGGACGATGGCGGTGGCGGTGGCGATGCAGGCCAGACACCACGGGCCGTCGGCGCCGCGTGAAACCCAACTACATTGTTGGGCAGTTGCGCTGGGGTGTTCGGCCCCAAGTTGTACCGCCCGTCACCGTTTGCCCCAGGCTGTGACATCGTCTCCTCTGCTTACTGCCGCTCGCGCGTGAGTGGTGGGTGTCCTCCACATGCCAAGATGCCAAGGCGTGGTCCTCGATGTGTCAAATCGGCACAAAAACCCGGCCCCTACACACCCAATAGCCCGCCACGTGCGCTGTTCGCAAAAGTCGACATCGATTTTAATGTTTTTGCATTTATTTGAGTTCGAGTTTAAGCATAGGAAGATTCCGTGCGGTCTCCATCCAAATGCTTCCGACGGACAGGTGGAAAGTTATTCCATCCAATCACAGCAGATGTTCGTTGGCTCTTCCAGGACTTAAACTGATTTTTGATTTCGATTTCTGATCTTGATTCTGTCGATAAGACACATCCTCAGTGCCAGCGGGTGAAAATGTAAAAATCAAGGTTCCTGGAAGGGGCCAAAATGACAAAAATGCGCTATGCGCTAAATACGCGAAAATGACTCTCTCTCCATATTCTTTCACGTAGGCACACATCTCAGCTTCACAAATGCCCTCGCCCGAACCTAGGAAGCCACTGATGCAAAGCGCTGAGGACAGCCAAAGGGTTCATTCAAGCTCAGCCGAAGCCAGGATATCGTGGTATGCTGCATCTCCCAAGTTGATAATCGTACACTCCCAAGATCCAACAGTCATCGTGTCAGCAGCTAGATTACTCAAACAAAATAGCAACACATACACGGCCATAGCTCCACACATGCCCTCGTCCGAACCTAGGAAGCCACTGATGCAAACGCTGAGGACAGCCACAGGGTTAATTCAAGCCCAGCCAAAGCCAGGATATCTTGGTATGCTGCATCTCCCAATTTGATAATCGTACACTCCCAAGATCCAACAGTCATCGTGTCGGCGGCTAGGTGACTCAAACAAAATAGCAACACATGCACTGCCATAGCTCCACACATGCCCTCGTCCGAACCTAGGAAGCCACTGATGCAAAAGCGGAGGACAGCAAGAGGATTAATTCAAGCCCAGCCAAAGCCAGGATATCTTGGTATGCTGCATCTCCCAATTTGATAATCGTACACTCCCAAGATCCAACAGTCATCGTGTCAGCAGCTAGATTACTCAAACAAAATAGCAACGCAAACACTGCCATAGCTCCACACATGCCCTCGTCCGAACCTAGGAAGCCATCGCACTAGGAAGTCGCTAGGGAGTCAAGTCCTGCTCGCAGGTTTTCTTGGCTTTCATTCAGGTGGACACATCCAGGAATCCAGTATCCGCAGCCGCCGCAGTGCTGCTGTGTAGCAGTATATCCAGGTTGTTCCCACCCGTTGTCCAAACAAAGATTTGTGATTCCGTGCGAGTAGGAGATACCACCGCCGTTGAAGTGTCAAAGGCACTGTCGGCGATAGCTTGGGCATTTTACCTCTCCACAACTCCTGGGCATCCGGGGATGCGATCTCCTACGAATTTGGGTCACATAGACTATGCCTGTGAAGCACGGCCATCTATTGCCGGAGCGCGATCAAACCGGTGTGACGAAGAGCGCGTAGTTTTTCCGCTTGCTGAGAAGTGAACAGATCGTCAAACGGTGCCCTAAAGGTCTCGTTCTGGTCCGAAAGGTGCGATAAATATGCGTCACGGAAATCAAACTCTGGACCCCTGCAACACGCGGCGGAAATCAGACCGATATTTAGAGCCTTTTCTCCCTCCTGGGAGATGAAGAGGAAAAAGGTCGCGCTTCGCGCTCCGCGGCTCATTATCAACAAAAAACAAATTGCCGGGTGCTGCTCGTGATGTATGTACTGATCGATAATTCGGGTGGCTCAGTTGTGTGCGATGGGAGTGTAGAGCAGCTCGGCCATAACGGGCCGTAGGGGTAGGTAAAGTCGTACAGACGTGTTGTATCCGTGTTGTCGTGTTGTATTTGTTGTATTCATCGGGGGCGTGCTCGTGCTCGTCAAACCATCACGGTATCGAGTCACGCCTTCATGCTTTCTCACACAACGAATCTCTCTGAATCCTCACCAAAAGCCTCTCACAACCAAGGAAAATATGTAGAAAGTTCCTGTTCCTCCGCATCTCATCACTGCAATATTCGTACGTACGTACATAACATCTCAACCATCATACTATGCTACGAGTATATCGAATAGCCCCCCTGCTCGTATGCATCGTCATGCTCCGGGAAAATATC